AAAACTGCAAGACTATAAAATCAACACGGATGGCAAAAAACTCACCTCGGAATAAAGCTGCTGAGCTTCCTCGAAAGTTGAGCGCGAATCTACTAATCCAGCTCCACCTATCTCGAAAGAACCCAACCCGACGGGAACATGATCGCTCAGCTTGTGCGGCTCCTGGTTTCGAGCATCCGGCACTTCGAGGGGGGAAGACACATTCTCGCCAAGCCCCCAGCATGGACTCGTCTTGCTGTAAGCACCGCCACCTTGTGAAAGCCCCTTTTGCTTATTATTATCGCTCTATAGCCCAGAAGCTGGCGATTCTTCTCCCCCTCCAAGAGGGCACGGTCTCGCTCCTAAGGATTCCCCGACAACTACGGTGATGAGGTTAGAACGCGTAAAAAGAAAATGCCCTTAAAGGATCGAATCACACAGCGCATACCATGGTGTTTGGCCTTCCATCTGCCCTTAGACAAAACTTGTAACTTGCGCTCATTGTAAGTCGAGCAAGTCGCCAGCTTCCAAGCCCAGTCCGTCAGGTCGGGGACCTCGCACGGCGTCCATGAAATTGCTATAGAAAAGGAAAGGAAGGCGCATTCACAAAATCTGTCTGTGTCATAAGCAAAACTACGAAGGTACGAGTGTACCACTTACGTGTAAAATTCCACTCCTAAGGGAATGGCAGAAACTCTACGGGTATAACATCAACGGTCCGTACTCAAACAAATCTGCTCATCCACTCCCGATCTCCGTCTTCTTCATCAACGGCACCAAAAGGTGTGGTGGATCAGCATAAGGTTAGCAGACCTCGATGATGAAAAGGTCGATACAGCCTGATAAGATGACTGAGGGTGAATTCAAGCTCTACTTTCTCCGCAAAGAACCTCATCATCAATATTATCCGCCAAAATGACAGGTGAATCTGCGCCAAGGTGACCCGGTATTTCAGGAAGAAATCAAGCACAACCCTATCAGGGGGCCTAGTGTGAAGGGGTACGTATATACGTTCAAAAACCCCTCAGCATGATCCATAATGCTCTCTCCTGGGGAGAGTACCCGCAGTACTACCTTTTCCCCCCATCCGCAGTCTCTCCTTACTGACTCAAGATGCTCCTCTCCTACTAAGGAAATAAATTTCGAAACATACTCCCTACGACCCCAAGCGCCTTGGTTCGAAAGGCCTTCAAGGGCGGAACTCCACTCTCCTCGCCGAGCGGACCTTGGTGTGGCAGCCATAACTGTGATAAAACTAGAAAATTCGAGCAAAACCCTCAGAATCGAAACGGTGAAAGCCTTGACACAAGAAAAGAAAGCTCCACGATGGAAGACAACTACTCAGAATAGTAGAATCATCAAAAGGGGGAGGCAACCTTATATATGGAAAAAGCAGCGACTATCCACCCGCCTCAAAAGCCGATTAAAAATACTGGTTGAAACATTTCTCACTTTGGGAAAATATGCCAACAGAATCGCCTCAGTCATTTCGTAACCATGTCATACACTTGACGCCGCCATACGACGTTTTGGGGTCAGCGACCCCCGCATTAACCAAGTTCCGAGATGGTACCCGATCTCGAGGACCACCGTCAAAGAGAAGATAGGCACCGGGAAGCCATTAGCATCACTGCACGACCGAGATGGTACCCAATCTCGAAGATCTCCACCAAGAAGGGAATACGCTCCAAGGAGCCATTGACATAATCCTAAGCCTCGAGATGGTACCCAATCTTGAGGACCTCTCTCAAAAGAAGATAAGCTCTAAAAACCTACTCATATGGGCTTGGCCTCAGGATACTATCTGAACCCGAGTAAGCCCCCATCCTAGATCTATCTGCGACGCCTTAAAGCGATCTACACTAAGTTCAAAGCAAGCTTCCAGGTAGCCCGAGCTTGAGCGAACCTCGCTCGAGGACTGCTCCCGAGAGCCTAACGGCAATCTTTATTCTCAGACTTCCAGGGAAGTCCCTCCGTCGTGGTCTATCCCGGGGTCTAAAAGGCTAAGTCCCGTGCTGAAAATTCGGAGCCCCTACTCTCGTTCAACTCGAAGCTAGGGATCCCGACGGCCCGAGTTTATCAATCCAATCCAAGATCAGTCCAAGGAACGGCAACAGTTTCCACAGGGAAATGTGTTAATCAGTCAAAAGCCAGAGAAGTACTTACGCCCGGGCTCGGTATTCGTACCGGCCAGTAGAATCACGCATTCAGATTCTTCATGAGTGCAAATAAAGGGAAATAAAGCATAAATCAGAGACAAAAAAAAAAGAAACATCCTTTCCATTAATAACAATGCTAATAAAGCCTACGAGAGGTCCTTACACATGATTACAAAGCCCACGAGGGGTCCTTACACAGAAACAAAGAAGCAAAAGAAAATACATACAATGAAAACCAAGAGTCTAATCTATCCTCAGCGACAGTATGTTCGAGCACCGCCTCCTCGACGGCCTCATCTCGATCTTCCAAAATGACATCTTCAAGGGAGAAGATGAAGGAGAGGAAACTGATGCAGAAGAAGCAGAAAAAGATGAAGAAAAAACCGTCTCTCTCCAAAGAACAAAAGATTTTACCGGGCCGAGAAAATCACGGCCCGGTAGAAGACTTGGCGAGCGCCGGCCCTACCTGCACGGCTACTTCGAGTCCACTTCTTGGGACCTTGAGCCATGCAATTTAACGACCGGTAGCACCACTTCACCCCACGGAAAGCAAAAGGGATGAAGTGCCACACCAGGCCGGGGTAGGAAGGTGAGCAGTGGTGTATAGTCCAAACACCCTCATGAGCAGCGGTGTAGAGTACAAACATCTCCCTAAATCGGAAAAAGTTAGCCCCCTATCTCATCGCCTCGAGCCAACGACGACAGCAGTAATAACAACAACAACAACAACAACGACAAGTCAATGCGATATCGCTCGATAAGGGAAAGCCTTGAAAAAAGGCCATGGCATGGCTGATGGGAAAACTGCCATGTAACCTTAAGGCCGTGGGCCTCGAACATGGGAGATAACAATGAGTGATGATGAGGAAGTGATTCTAGGGGACTTCCATTTATAGGGGGTGGCAGTGTAACCAGCGGCCCAATTAATGACTTTGAAAGACGTATCAGCAGGCGCAATCAATGCGTTTTTTGTGAACTGAATCGACAGCGATATTGTCACTTTGGGGAATCAGAATCGGCAGTACATTGAATGACACTGAAAAGATGAACCGACGAGACGCCTCAGTTATCATGAAGGCTTACGTCATAAGTATGACATCATCACGGGAAAGTTCGATGAGATGAATATCAAAATCGTTTCTTATCGTTCCACTTTAAGAAACGTTGGGACTATCTGTATGCGGTAAAATCGGAGGGTCCGATTTTCGGCCATTATAACGCCTCGTAAGCAAAGCTCTCCAAAGGCTCGGGACTACGGTCGAGATTTACCCCGAAGGGCCATCGATGTCCAACCTCGAGACGGTGCAAGTCGACAGCTATAATAAAAAAGTGGGAAGTTCCCTAGGCGCACGACTGGGGCTGACAAAGCCTAGAGGTCTAGACCTGACCCGTATCAGGGCATTAGGTGGCTATCCCTGCACCATATCTTTGTATTTAATGCATTTGTACTATGTTACCCCTCATATATAAAGGGGATCCTTGTCATTTTGTAGAGATCTGATGCTCAAAACTAAATACACAAGAACATTCTCTCTGCTCTCTAACATATTCTCTTAAGCTTCTACTTCCATTTATTACTTACATTCATTGTGTTCTATTTATTGTTCTTCATTCATTTCTTATCATTGATCATAAAGAGTCATCATTGAATTTATCATAACTGTTAGTCCCTCCATCGACTACCCACGGCAAGATAAAGGACTCGACCTCGAGGCCCCGAATAAGCAAACTCGAGGCCTCGCTTGACAGCCTATTGGTTCGGTTATCATCTTGTTTCCAAGCTCTTATCTCGTTTTCTAATCTCTTACTTAGAATCCATTGCCTAACAACTAGCATAAAAATAGATCACATATTTTTAGAACCACAAAATCAAATTTAATTGTAATTACCATTTTCACGGTAAACAGGCATCCCATAGTGCTTTAGGGAGTTGTGGTCCTTATGTGCCTTATTCTTGGCAGCCAGCTTACAGCGCACCATTATCTCCTATCAGTGCACCTCCGATTCAAAGATATAACCGTAGTTATCCGACCCGTTCGGGTGAGTCTCGATTTTAGTAGCCACAGCAACAGGATGGATGTTTTGAGTGGTGGTTTTTGGCATATTAGGAGGAACTGCCCGAGATTATTGGGCAGCACGCCATAGCAGTGTTCTCGTGCCATGGTTTCGGCACCGGTTGCACCACCGCTCACCCAGCCAACTAAAGGCAGGGGTCAGGCAGCCAGAGGTGGAGGCCAGACCGCTAGAGGTGGAGGTCAAGCCGCTAGAGATAGAGACCAGCCAGCTAGAGGCTATCCTAGAGATGTAGTGAAGAGTAGTGGAGCCCAACCCTGATGTTATGCTTTCCCAGCCAGGTCTGAGGCTGAGTCATCTGACGCTGTTATCACAGATATTATTTAAGTTTGCCATAGATGCTTCTGTTCTATTTGATCCGGACTCTACTTATTCCTATGTGTCATCCTACTCTGCTTCTTATCTGGTTGTGCCTCGTGATTCTTTGAGTGCTCCTGTGCATGTGTCAACACCTGTCGGAGATTCTATTGTTGTAGATCGTGTCTATCTAGCATAGACCTCCTACTCCTCGATATGCCAGATTTTGATGTCATCTTGGGTATAGATTGGCTATCACCTTATCATGCTATATCGGATTATCACGCCAAGACGGTGACATTAGCCTTGCCGGGGTTGTCTCGATTAGAGTGGAGGGGGACTTATCATGGTATACTGTATGATCCAATTCATTAATTTTGGTTACAAAGTTCTCACCATGTACAAAAAGACAAGATTGTATCCTTTTTTTCAAATGTATCTTGTGTTTAAAGTGGCAATAAAATCGTGACTCCACTGTTTAAAAAAGGATAATAAGAGAATTTGATTTAACTTAGGTTTATAACAATATACAAGAGGTGTGAAATATATTCTGGATAACATGGCCCTAAAAATTCAGAGAATATCAAGAACAAGATAATGAGGCAGATCAAGAACTTTTCGACTCCAGTCATTGCTTTTCTTTATGTTACTTCGAAAGTAGCTGCTAGTACTTATATGAAGTACACCGATGCGTTATGGCATGCAAAGTAGAAAGAGATCCTTGCAGCAGTTATTTATATTGCAGAGACACTTTTAAGTTCATGGCGCAATAGCTGAACAATTAGTGGCAACACATACAGACAATGTATGTTAGGCAGAATAATGATTTGTTTCAAGCCCTGAAATGATAAATTTGAATGTTTTCAACATCATGCTTCTTGAAATTGCTGTCCTTCCGCATTGTGAAAAATTTCCCCCAGTTATATGCCTTATATTTTGCAGGATTTTTCTCAGTCACCAGCTCCTCCAAGGGCTCGACCCATGTATAGTGTGCTGGGTTGAGGAAGAATGGAATTGAAAACCTTTCTCTTTCAGAGTTCACCATCACCCTATGTTCCACACTTTCATATTCTTCATTGCTCCAAACCTGTATAACCGTTGCCATAGACCAATTACAGACGGTTTAACTTTTATACATCGATTGTGTAAAACAATTTCTACCCTATTAGGTCCCTTAGAAAAAAACTACAGGTTCTCGAAAATAAAATAGCTAAGTCTAAAGGCGGATTCAAGATTATAATTTGATTGGTTCGATCTTCAACGTTCTTAATATTAGTTCGCTATATTGTAAGTTCAGATATAATATTTCTTGAAATTTTAGTAGGTTTTCACGTACAAATTTATACCGGGCATCCAGAATACTAGGTTCGGATGATCCCAATACTGAAGCCTGAAGGACCAGATCTGCACCTGCAGATAACCTACTACAACCTATTAGATTACACTAGTACTGAAAAATTATTATATTGTCGGTGTATGTATCATTAATCCATTACGTGCTAATAATTCTATTTCTGTACATTCAAAATAAAAAGTAAAGCAACAAGTTTAATAAGTGTACCTGGATAAGGTCTCCAATATTTATAATATAAGCATGAGGAGTGGGTTTGACTCTAATCCATTCTCCATCTGCTTTACTCTTTACTTCAAGTCCTCCAACATTATCTTGAGCAAGTATAGTGAGAGCCCCAGCATCCTTATGTCTACCAACTCCTAAAGCCAGATGAGGGATAGGACAAGGAGGGTAGTGATTCAGTCTAACAAAACTAGTTTGTTCTTCATCAAAGAAACCATTCAACCTATTTGCAGACAAGCCTAAGCTGAGAGAGATGAGCTCCAGTAATTTGTAAGATAGTTTTTCCATTTCTTGGACATACACTTCACATACCTCCCTGGAAATGAACATATAGTAGGTATTAGTTATGGATGAAGCTCTAATTAATTTGTGCAGCATATATAGTTTGATGTGGTGCAATTTGCCGGGTAGCGTAAATATAGTAAAATTATGATGAGGAAAGGATTTATATAACGATCGCTATAATGTTACCTTCTAGTAACAACTACTCCCTCCGTTTCATATTAAATGAGGTACTTTCCTTTTTAGTCTGTTTCAAAATAAATGACATATTTCTAAATTTGGAAATAAATCAACATTAAACTCCTCATTTTACCTATTTTACCCTTAATGAGAAGCTTTTATAACCACACAAAAGTCATGACTCCACAAAGCTTTACCCCTTAAGCTTTTAAGACCACAAATTTCAAAAGTATTTCTTTTTTCCTTAAACTCCGTGACGAGTCAAACTATCTCATTTAATTTGAAACGGAGGGAGTATGTATAGTGTCGCTACAAGAAGTATAACTTTTTAGCATTTCCTCCGTCTCAATTTAATTATGTGACAGTGTTTGACTGAACACAGAGATTAATAAAGAAAGGTAAACTTTTGAAACTATGGTCCCAAAATAGATATTTATGTGATTATGAATCATCTCATTAATGATAAAAGAGAAAATTTAAAATTATATTGTTTCTAAATAAGGAAGTATGATATTCTTTCCAAGAAGAGACTAAAAAGAAAAATAAAACTATCACTTTTTTTGTTGTATAATTTTTAGTTTTCACAAAAACCCTTACTTTTTGTGTGGCGTCAAAGGATTCACCAAAGTTGGCGCGAAAAAACTCACTAGCCTGTATCGTTAGCCTTTGAGGCATATTATAATGAAAGAGATGAGGATCTCTAATTTTCTTTTAGGCATAAATTGAAAGTTAATATTACCTGAACTCTGGTGGGTAGTCAGGCCATTGGCTGTTCAACTGCTTCAGTTGTTTGTCATCAAGATCAGGAGAAAATGGTATAACAGTTGGATTCTGTAGAGCAAAATCAAAGACTTCTTTCCAGTCCCTTACATTCTTGGTGTGCTCAGTATCATAATATCCTAAAGGGTTGAACTCATCTCTCCCCACTTTTCTCTTATCTTCCTTAGACAAAGCAAAGAATTTTCTTGATGCCAACTCCATTTTTTCCCTGTGCTCTAAGGGTACCCCATGATTTATCACTTGAAAGAATCCCCATTTCTTTGATGCATCGCCTATCTCAGCCACAAGAGTTTCCAATTCCTTGGAGTATTTCTCAGAGGAGAAATCTGGATAATTCAGTATTGATAGATCTATAACTGGAATGCCTTCAGCTTCAGTTATGGTGAGTTTAGGCCTGTGTTCGACATCTTGAATGAATGCTGGATCAACTTCTCCCATTGCTGAATTATTTGTTAATTAAATGGTAAGTTTGTTTCTTTAGGGATCACACTTACTGAGGTTTTATATGCTTTAACGTTACTGGAAATATCGGAGAAAGTTAATGTTGTCACAATAATTAATGACGATAAATAGGTACAATACATTGAACCTGGACGCAATTTTGTCACAATTTAAAGTTGAATGTTGATTTTGTTTCGGAAAGGTCATGTACTCATATTCTTGCGTCAATCACATCGAATGATTTACCTTACTAATGGCTTTATAAGAGAATTTTTCTTTTTATTTGGTTTTTACACTATCACAATAAAAACCAATGATTTTATCGGAATTTATTTTTATATTATATTATAATATATATATGTCATCTAGGGGTGTGCATTCGATTTATCGATTCGATTTTGACCCTTATCGATAATTACTTATCGATTATCGATTTATACATATGCTTATCGTTATCGTTTCAATAAGGTTTCGATTTTTTCGATTTCTATTTATCAATTTTGGGGGCTTATCGATTCGGTTATCGATTGCACCAATAAGAAAATTTGTGGGATTCCACGGAAATTATATCGCTACAAACGCGTCTAACTAATATGGACAAAAAGAAGCTAAAATAAGACGAACACCATTTATAATATAAAAATTGTGTCAACAAGCACATGCAATAAAACTAAAGTAAGGGATCAAATGTATGCCACCAACACTCCAACGGTATAAAAAAAAGAAACAAAACAAAACACATCATCACGACTAATTCTGTTTTCCATTAATTTGAACTTCATTCCCTTGATCTTTAGATATGATCATTCCTTAAATGTGGTAGAGGAAATAATAGGGTAAGGGACTTAGGGTAAAGGAAAGGGTATAGATTAGGGAAAATAATATTGTATTGCCGCTTTCAAAATCATAGCGGAATATATATACATTCTGTATGTTATATTAATCTACACAAATAGGTAATTACTCATTTAACAAGTGTCTACAGTCTAGGGGTGTGCATTCGATTTATCGATTCGATTGACCCTTATCGATAATTACTTATCGATTATCGATTTGTACATATGCTTATCGTTATCGTTTCAATAAGGTTTCGATTTTTCGATTTCGATTTCGATAATAAATAATCGATTCGATTTATCGATAAACCGATTCGAATGCACACCCCTAATGTCATCTATAAAAGCACTTTACTATAACAGTCAAAATATATCGGAACAAAAGAGGTTGTTTCTCATTTGTGTTTTATGAATAATTTTCTGCTTGCTCATTCATTCAATAATTATCTTTGTTTGTTTTAAAAGGAATGATATTGTTACTATACCGGAAATCTTTTCTTTGGCAATAACTTTTCCTATAATACTATAAGAATTTTATTCATAAGAGCTCGTGCTTTATATAGTAGAACTTACTATGCTATTTGTAAATACTCCCTCCGTTTAAGCTTACGCAAATGTTATCACTTTTCGAGATTCAAATTATAAAAACTTTGATTAATATTTTGAACTATTTTTTTGTCATATTCACATGAGGAAAAACACAACTTATAGTATTTTCATATAGTTTTTAAATATTCGTATTTGAAATTTAAAATATTGAGTTAGTCTAATTCAATTTACCTTCAAAAATTGATCAAATTAACTGTCGAAAAGAAAAGAAAAAAATCACATAAATTGGAACATTAGGAGTAATATAAAAAATTAAACTAGAAAATCAATTTCCTAAATCCTACTCTAGATGAAGAACGGACGTGGTAACCATCGTTTTCCGAATATTATCATTTGGGGTGGGGTGGGGTGGGGGGGTGGGGGGGGGGTTGAAAGGAGCGCCAAGTACATTTTTCTTCATTTAATGTTTGTATAATTACTCAAGTCCAATTTATGGAATTAAACATGACTTACTGTATATAATCATCATTTACCTAAAATTTATGCCAAATTGCTAATTCTAATTTATGAAAAATTATTAATTCTTCATTATTTTAAGGAAATTTTACGCCCTATAGAAAAGCTTAGTACCCTATTTATTTTAAATAAATACCATTTTAAAAATGACATCCTATAGATATCTTTTATCCTTTATAGCAAAATATCTAATTATAGTTACATCCTACGTTTAAGGCACCATATATGCTAAATAATATTTTTCTCTCTCCTTTTTAGTCTTTTCTCTCGCATAATCATAGTAAATCTTACTAACCACATTCTCTCTCTTTTTGCATACACTTTACTCTCTTCTCCCACAAACCCACGATTCATACTTCTTCTCCTACCCAAATTCGCTAGGTCTCCGGCATGTAATCTTCAATCCAACGAGTAAAGGAAAACAAAAAGAAGATCCAACAAACAGACAGTTTTTATCTTAACTTTCTCCCTTTTTTCTATCTGAATGACGAAATTATGCCTCGTAGATACAAATGGCAAAACTTTGGTATCAATTTTGTTTTGCCTTCCCAAATTCTTTACCATTGCTCTTACTGCCTACTATTTCCTCTTTCCATATCAATCTGTAGTCATAGGTTGACTGATGCAGCACCTGAAACGGGCCTTTCTTATTGATTCTGTTTCCTCATGATGCGGCTAAACATTGGAATCAAGTTACTGCCAAATATTGGAATCAAGTTTTATTTAGTTTGGGCTTTGGTTATTTGAAGACGATGAAACAGTATTTGTGCTGCAAAAGATGTTTGGTTAGGGCTGCAACTCGACGAGACGACATTAGGGTTGTTCTTGAACAAAGATGACGAAGTTTGGGGTTGAACAACTTGAAGATTCTATTACCTTTTTTAAGTGTATTTCAATGTATCTCGCTGTATTTTATTGTATTCATTGTCTTTTTTTCATTGTATTTCATTGTATCTCGTTGTATTCCATATATTTCATTGTATTCACTGTTTTTTTTTAATTGTATTTCAATGTATTCCGTTGTATTCTATGTATTCATATATTTTTTCACTTAATATAATTTATGTATTCAGATGTATTATATAATTTTCTCTGAAGATTGCTATGTTTTTGAGGGTTTCTCCAATTGAGAATCTTTTTTATAACTGAAAATACAATTTTTGTGTGTTATAATTGTATTTGTTGAGTTATATTAGTAGTCTATTATGTTAATTGATACACTTTCCGTTTTAAACAGTGTAATCCCCTGTTTCACGCCATGAATACAGTCGAATACAGTAGTCTGTCCAGTCAATCTCATGTTTCACGCCATGAATATAGTCGAATATACTCGAATACAACAATTGATTAGCTGGACGACTTCCCCGATTCACGCTTATTTTTGCTACTATATTCATGAATACAATAGCTTAAATACATCAAATACATCATATAACCATAGGAAAGGTATCTATAACCCGTAATATAGCAAATAATATCTATAAATGGCTAGTTACTACTAAAAGATAGTGATTTATGAACTGGATCCATTTTCGCAATGACATTATTTTTTGGATTACTGAGGTCCCTTTTTCAACTGTCTCGATTACAGGGATTTATATGAGTTACGACATTAGAAATATCGTACAAAGCTGTGTTTGTCAGTTGTCACATACATTGAACCTGGACGTGAGTAGCTTTATCATCCAAATTGGAAGGTTGCTTTGATTTATTTTATTTTATTTTTTCATGGCGAAAGCCTACCTCATTAATCGTCAATGAACACAATCGTATCATATGATATATAGCGTAGACAATAAATTGCGTCGAGAAAATAAATTCAAGACCAAAAAATATCCCAACAATCGTAGTATTTTATTTCGAATATTTGAATGTACAATCTCTATGATTCCTCTAATGCTTCCTTCCAATAGTAAATAAATTCAAGGGTCTTTGAGCTTGATCTTGAATCTATATTTTCTTCCACGAACGATGATCTTGTTCTTGAGCTTGAGCTTGATTGCTTGAACTTGATCTTGATTCGTTCTTCGTTCTTGAGTTTGAACTTGATTTCTTGAACTTGAACTTGATTGCTTGAAGCTTGAAACTTGTAGATAAATTTGCGGCGTTTGATCCACGAGCTCTCTCTTGCTTCTTGTTATAACTTCTGGTGTCTTTTCTGAGTTATGAAGACCCCTATTTATAGTTGTGGAAGTGAGGAGTTGTGATAAGAACAAACTCTTTCCGACCAATCAAATTGAAGTGTAACATGGCCGCATTTGATTGGGCAGAACATGTCACTTGCACACGTGGCGCGATTTAATTGGCTTTTCTGTGTGACTGGGCATGCCTTGTCATTTTGACACGTGGCATGGTCCTATTGGCTCTTTCGCTTGACTTGGCGCACCACGTTATTTGACACGTGACACCAAATTGGGCCTCTAGGAAGATGACATCTTGGACTTAATGAAGTGGGCTTATCACTTTAGCCCAATTAAATGGGGTAGCCCAATGAATTAAGACTTATTTATTTAATCCATATATATTGGACTTATATAGTTAATTCAATTATATTAGCCCATAATATATACTTGGACTAATATATCTTGAATTTAAAATATGGTCTAAATTATTATATGAATTTAATTTTAATAAAATTTATATGTCCACAAATGCCCCCGACTTCAAGACTTGACAGGTTTAAGCATATCCAACTCCAAAAGGCGAGGCTTGAAGTATTAGCAAAATATTTATTTTGTATGAATACTCCCGGAAACATATTCAAGTAATGTGAATTATGTTTGTATTTCACAATACATATTAATCACGTGGACTAGTGTAAGCATGTAGGCCAAGCTCTTTTATTTGATTTGGAACTTTTCCTCACATTAGTACCCTATACCAAACATTTGTTCTCATGGAAAAGTAACACAGAGGAACCCACGTACACGTAGCATACAAACATCATATTTGCATATTCCCATATGACTAGAAAATAGGAAATCGTGAGCTTCAGTTAACTTGGACTTTGTCGTATACTAGTTTCTGATTCCCGCTTGAACTCGAAGAAGCTAAGTAGTCATACGATTAGAGACGACTAGGTAATTCCGTGAAATTACACCGCTGCCTTAGCAGTCTAAGTTCTTTTCGGGAACTGATTCCGCGATTCCCACATCGACACTTTCACGTTTCAGCAGC